GCCGATCAGGCCAGGGATGGTTTTGGGACTGAAGAAGGAGAGCCCCCATCAAAAGTAAACTGAACCATGCAACGTACTCCTGCTAGGGAGGATCATGCACTCATCCGTCAACTACCAGGAAGCTCAAGGGGTGGTTATATAATAGATACCCCTTAGCCCTTAACCCTCTTTATGGGGAAATGAATAGACACCCCAAACAGGTAGGTCTTGGTAGCTCTACACTCCCCAGAACAGTCATAGTTATGTGAATGGCGGCCCCGACAGAACCGCTTTTCTCTCGACCTCTGTTTTGTTGGGAAAAGACCATATTTTGGGGGTGTATCCCATTCGCTGTAACAGTGGATGATGGTTATAGGTTGCAGGCCTTTCTCCAAATTCGGCAAACCAACACGTGATAATCTGTTGTTGATTCTTATAGGATGTAAAGAAGGTCATGGGACACACACTCACCCATGACCTTGGGGGGGGTGAAGACCTGCTGATCCCGGTCCAGACCTTCTAGTCCCGCTTCGACGACGATCTCGGCCGAGGCGCAGGCGTCGATCTCGCCGCCCAGGCGGCTTCGCTCGAACCAGGCAGCGGCAGCCGGTGGATCTGGGGCATGGTGAGCCAAGCCATCCTGGTGCCGATGGAACAAAACGATCGGTGTTGGTTTCGGTTTCACCCGAGGCGTTCCAAACCACAAAAATGTTGGTGTTGTAACGGTGTTGTACAGACTCAGTGGCAGCATGAGGCAGACTCTTCGCAAAAATGAAGGAAGTAAGAAGAAAGAGGAAAACAAGGGATCTATATTATATACATGATATAATACATGGATTTTTTGTTTGATTTTTTGGGAGAGCCGGGTACAACAGGGTACCCTCTTCATAAGTTGCGTGGAACAGCAGAAGAAACCACCAACAAAACATGCTGGATTGCACTGTCACAAAGCCTCGCAGTTGCGGTCCTCTAGGGCCTTCCCGAAGTAGAGCTGCGCCCTGGGGAAGCCCGCTTGTGCCGCTTCTTGAAGCCTCACAGCACGCGATCACGCGATCACGCCGCGCCCACGCGCGCGCGGCTCATCATGTCCGAACCAGCCTTCAGCCCCCAAATCCAGGTCAATTTAGGGGCAACCTCTTCTACCTCAATTAACAAGCAACAACATGTTAAACAACGACGATAAAACATACCAAGTGTGGGAATGGCATTGTTTGAAAACAATCGTTCCTGATTCCCCAAAAAAACGATGGGATTGATGATATGGAATCTGTAGACAATCCGAGGATGATATCAAATGTGAAAATTGAAACGCCGCACCACTGTTGCATGATGTTGCATTCATAGTCACCCGAACATATACTCGGACCAAGGCGGTTCAGTGGACACAGGTGAGCGCTGTCCAGAGGGCAGGAGGACAAGTGAAGGACAACACCCGGACACAGGATTCAGGGGCGCGGCCAACGACTACGGTATATATATATGTGAATTGTGATGAGCACATGGTCGGACGCCATGTCTAGCGGAACCTTTAGGCTGGAGCGTAGAAAGGCGCCGCTGCGATGCCCCTGGTGGGGCGACCGCACCGACATTGGTAGCGGAGCCCCACCAGGGGCTCGCAGTGAGTGTCACTAGGTAGTGCACCTGCTGCCATGAGTGAAGACAAGGGTCATCGCCGCTTTGACGGTGAGGGCGATGACCCGGGTAAGGCGTTGAAAAAGTGGAAGACATGGGCCCAGGCCAAACTGGTTACGTTGAAAGACATCAAACCTGAACAAAGGGGGCCATGGATCCTGACGCTTCTAGATGGTCGTGCCTGGGATGCTTGTGAGCACCTGACCTTAGACGACCTTGCAGTGTCAGGTGGTGACAAAAAGATCTGGGAAGTGTTGCAGAAACGATTTCCAGAAAAAGAGGCTCATGACTTGCTAGGAGAATCGCTGGGCGAAGTGTTTGCACTGTCAGCCAACGAAGCCGAGTCCATCAAGCAGTGGACGGCTCGAGCTCGAGAAGTGTTTGACAGATGCGAGAGACGAGCGGGAGTGGCTTTTCCAGCTGCCGCTCAGGGCTGGATTACGTTGAACTGTGCAGGCTTGACTGAGGAACAGAAGGCCATAGTGAAGGCCAAGACACAAGGCAGCTTAGACTACGAAGCCGTGGCCGCTGCCATGAGGTCATGTTTTCCTTTGTACAAAGCAACAGCCAGTCGCAGAAAGCCAGTTGGAGCTCTGCAAGTCGACGTCATGACTGACGAGTTCGAAGCTGCACCAGAGATGTCCTACACGGACGATGCTTACTTGCAAGAAGTTGAGGCCTTCATCGCCGAACATGAGCACGAGACCACTACAGAAGAGGCTGTGTTCACTGAACAAGAGGCAGCCGAAGCCCTCGCTGTGACTTGGAAAGAGCGTCGCAAGGAGATAGCAAAGGTGCAGAAGAGTCGACAATTCGGTTCTCATGGCACTTCCAAAAGGCAGTTCAAAGTGGAAGTAGAAGAGCTGAAAAGGCGAACCAAATGCAATCGCTGTGGCAAAGTAGGCCACTGGGCCAGAGAGTGCAGGCAGCCACCAAGTGCGAAAGAAGCTTCTTCTTCGAGCACTCCTCCCATGGCAGCCAACTATGTTGAAAGCTCAGAGCCAACCGCTGAGGCTGGATATGGAGTGGAGCCGACCTTTGTGGGACACGTGATGACCACGGTGTTTAGCGCTGGCCTGATTTCCTCACCGGGCTTTGGAGTACTGGACAGTGGGTGCGGACGCACCCTGATCGGAGAAGAAACTCTCAAACAGCTTGAACCCATGATCAAGGCTCGAGGGTTTGGTTCTGTGCAGTACTATGAGTCTGAGAATGTGTTCAGGTTCGGAAATGGAGCAACGGAAGTGGCAAAACGTGCATGCCGCTTACCTGTCGGGATCGCAAACAAGTTTGGCTTGATTGACGCAGCCATTATTGCGGGCTCAGCTCCTCTTTTGCTTGGACGACCAACGTTGGAAAAGATGGCTGTGAAACTGGATTTCGCTCAAGGACAGATGGAGCTTCTCGGCTGCACGACCGATCTCAAGACCAATGAGGCTGGTCAGCTGCTGGTGGATGTCCTAGCATATCCAGCGAGAGAAACAGCTACCCCGAAGCCTCGCGGTAATCAACACGACAGAGACATAGCTCGTTCCACAAAGGACGACCAGCAGAAGGTTGAACAGAAGGCGCAGGGCTCAAGTCAAAAACAGAAGACAAAAATCACACTGAAAAAGAAAGAGTGTAGATGTTTGCTTGCTCAGATGAAACGTGTTTCCCAGACCGAAGATGCTGGTATCATGGTTGCTGAGTTATTTTCTCCTCCTCGTTTTTCCACTGAGGCTGTTCGGCAGGGGGGAAAAGGGATAGCATATGATATTAAGCAGGGGTGGGACCTTTCCAAATCAAATGTGAAGTCGCAAGTGGATGCGGAACTCGATCGCGTCCGCCCTCGACTTTTGGTGGCGTGTCCACCATGCACGCATCGAGGCGGGTGGGAGCATCTGAATAGGACCAAGCGGTCTCCTTTCGAGACAGCCTTGCTAATTCGAGCATCTAGGGATCAGGTTCGCTTTGCTCTCCAACAGATTCGCAAGCAGATAAGTCGAGGTGGTGATTTTATCTTTGAGCATCCGTGGGGTTCCGAAGTGTGGGACGATGGGGACATGATCACTCTTCGTAGGAAGTATGGAGTCCGCAGAGTTGACATGTGCGCCTACGGGTTGAAGTGTCCTGACACGGGTATCCCCATCAGAAAAGCCACGGGGATCCTTTCATCCATCAAGGAGTCCACTCATTTCCATCAGTGTCAGGGGTGTGAGAAACATCGTTTGGTTGAAGGAAAACTGAACTCAGGACAAAACGTGAGCGACTTTGCAGCAGAGTACACCCCATCTTTCGTTAAAGCCATGTTAAAAGCCTGCCAAGCACAACAACATGTGAGTGTGGTCGACTTTATCGACTTGGCTGAGTGCGAAGGTGCAGAGTGTCTCATTGGTGAGATCGAAGGAGACAGGGCCGGACCAGAGCAAGAAGACGCGGAGGTCATACATGCTGATCACACCCAAGGTACTCCCAGTGTGTTGCGAGCTGTTAGGAAATTGCATGTTAACCTCGGCCATCCGCACAACAGGGATTTGGTGCGCATCTTGCAGCATAGTAAGGCTTCTAAAGAAGCTCTGGAGGTAGCAAAGAACTTCACATGTACCGTGTGTAGTAACCATAAGCTTCCGCATGCATCCCTACCTGCTAAGACTAGTAGAATCATGGAGTTTAACGCGCGAGTTGGGATGGACGTCAAGTACCTCCCCGGCTGGAAACCCAATCAGAGAGTTCCGTGCATCAGCATTGTTGACTATGCATCGTCATTGCACATAATGGCACCCATTTTCCAGAAAGAAAACGCTGAGTTGTTGAAGGGTGTTCTGCGGGACTCCTGGATTGCATGGGCCGGGCCCCCAAAGGTTTTGGAATTGGACCCAAGCAGACCAAACCTGAGTGACGCTTTGGGAGAATACTGTGAGGGACTTGGTATAGATCTCCTATACACAGCTGCAGACTCACATTGGCAGCTGGGGAAAGTCGAGAGACATGGAGGTTGGTTCGAAAAGATATTTTCTCGGGTATGTGAAGAGCATCCACCCAAGAATGCCGAAGAGTTTGTTGACAACGTTCTTCAGACCCAAATAGCCAAAAACACCCTGATTACAGAAGCAGGAGCAAGCCCTTTTCAGATTGTTTTTGGACGCAATCCCCGCATCCCTCAAGATTTGTTGCAAGATGATCCACACTTACCCGCAGTTGACGCCACCGAGAGCGACTCGCCGTTCGATCGGGCACATCTCGTGCGGCAAGCGGCGCGACAAGCGGTGCTGGAATGCCAAGACCACAAGGCCTTGAAGGCGGCCATCCGAGCTCGCCCAAGACTCCGCCAGGACTTCTGCTCAGGTGACTGGGTTTACTACTGGAGATCACAAAAGTGGTCAGACGGGCAGTTGCTAAGGGGAGGTCGTTGGCATGGGGCTGGCATGATTTTGGGTAAGTTGGGGGTGAACTATATTGTTGCGCACAGACGAAGTTTGTTTCGCTGTTCGCCAGAACATCTACGGCATGCAACCTCAGAAGAGAAAACAGTTGCAGATTTTGATGACAACGAATTGCTGGGAATCAAGAACTTGTTAGAAAAGGGACAATTTCCAAAAGGACAGTTTGTTGATTTGGTCAATACCACACTTCCGCCATCTCCAGAAATTTCTGACCGGGCAGAAGGCTGGCATTCCGCGGCACGATCCGCGTGGAGTGAATGAGACCAAGACTCAAAAGGAAGACTACAATGCAGATGAGACAACACCAGAACATGGGCCGTATTCTCGATTGGGGGGAACGTCTTCCTGGACACCGTTAGGTCGTACAGAGGATTATGGTCCCATCAGACGGGTTCGACACACAGTCAAGTCACCCCCGGAATATCTCTTTCGTCCAATGGAGATGCAACAGGAAGATCTGTCAGAGTTGCTGCAAGAGGTTATTCCTTCGTTGCTAGAGACACCAGAGACCGAGAGCTTCAGTCCCAGAGGCACTAGTAGCAAGAGAGAGGCCAGTGCCGACATTGATGACGGACCGCGCACTCGCAGTCGAACTGAACGATATGAGGACGAGGCATTGTTGTGTTCATTTGTTTCTCCAGGAGAGGAGGTTCCAGTGCGAAGTGGCCAGAGTCATGTCGAAGCATTGATAGCAGGATTCTTGCAGAAGCGAGCAGCAAAAGAGATTCCGTCCACTGGCAACCCATCCGACATCCAAGAGAAGGTTGATGGATCCAAGATTACAGAATGGGAGACATTGTCAGGGAAACAAGCTGTTCGTGTGTGGACTGGACAGAAAGCCAAAGAGATCAAAGAGCGTTTTGGACATCGGTTCATTGGCAGTCGTTTTGTTGTGATCAACAAGAAGGATGAGGATGGGGAGCGAGTCAAGAGTCGCTGGTGCCTACAAGGGCACTTGGATCCTGACTTCCAGGAGAAGATCCAGTCAGGGGCTTGCCACAGTCCCACACTTCACCCTTTGTCAAGATCATTGATTTTACAAATTCTAGTCAGCAAGCAATGGACGATGCAGCTAGGGGACATCAAGGGGGCTTTTCTGGAAGCAGGGCCTTTGAACCCCAAATTTAGTCCTTTGTATGCGCATCAACCTCCAGGAGGGATCCCAGGACTCAGTCCGGATGATGTGATCGAGGTCACAGGCAACGTCTACGGGTCCAACGATGCCCCTTTCAACTGGTGGTTTAAGTTCGACGAGACTGCAAAAAAAATTGGTTGGGTTCGTTCTCAGTTTGACAACTGTTTATACTACCTTCCAGATCCGTTGAGTCAGGGAGCCATGTGTGGTGTGATGGGAGCCCATGTAGACGACACCATCACGGGGGGACACGGGGCAACCTACGATTCAGCAATTCAAGCGTTGAAGACTCATTTCCCGTACAGAAAATGGAGGATTGGCAATGGTGAATTTTGTGGGGTGCAATATAGCCAAGACATGCGAAGTTTTGAGATCACGTACCATCAAAAAGAATATGCAGAACATCTTCGGGCCATTTCTCTCTCTAAAGAACGGTTGAAGGACAAAGAGTCTCTGGCAACTGACCGGGAGATCTCAGCCTTGAGGGCAATCAACGGAGCATGCAATTGGCTTAGTTCGCAGTCAAGACCAGATCTGTGCGTTCAGACCTCCTTTTCACAACAGAGCTTTCCTCAACCTAGAGTTCGGGATTTGTTGTTTGCAAACCAACTGGTGCATCGGGCTAAACAGTTTAGTCACACTGATGTTACAGTGAAGAGCATTCCATGGGAAGATTTGGCTATCTGTTTTCATTCAGATGCAGGTTTTGGTAATGCAAAGCAACACAAGACACAGGCAGGGTTCATTGCAGCTTTTGTGAGCAAAAGACTAGTACAGAATGAGGCAGCAAGCTGGTCTCCGTTTGCTTGGCGGTCATACAAATTGCCGAGAGTGGTGGCCTCGACACTAGCAGGGGAGGCACAGGCTTTCACGACAGCTAGTGCTACGGCTGAGTGGATGAGCTTGCTCATAGCAGAAGCAAAGCATGGCAGATTTGATCTTCGGACAACAGAGCAAGTGCAAACACAGCCACGAGTGTCAAATTTGAAATGCCGTGATGAGCTGGACCTAGTTCCTGTCGTGGGTGTCACAGATTGCAAGAGTTTATATGACCATATGATATCCATGTCATCAGTTAGTAAGTGCGAAGATAAAAGGATAGCAATAGACCTTGCAATACTCAAACAGTGCATGTCTCGAACAGGTCTCGTGGTTAGGTGGTGCCCAACACAACTCATGCTCGCAGACGCTCTAACAAAGGACCAGCAGGATCCGGCAGATCTCTTGCGGGCGGCACTGTCCGTGGGGGAATACCAGTTGAATCCTGAAGCCATGATCCTGGAGCTAAAAAAGAACCAACGTCAAGCACGAGTAGAAAGACGGGCGTTGCATGAAGCACGAGAAGCAGCACTAAGGAGAAGCAAGCCGAAACAGAAGGGTTCCTAATTCAGTAGGATGGGGTTTTTCTAGAGAATAGCAGACTGAGTGCATTTGGACGCCGGTTGAGTTTCTGTTTGCCAGATTTGTTTTGTGTGATGCAGGACTTCCTTTTTGTTTGTTTGGTTTTGTCGATAGTCACGTTTCGTCCTACTCTACATGTCCAGGCCGCTTGGATTGTTTCTCTGGTTTTGGGTGAGGGCTGGTGAGCACCCAGCGCACATTCTGGGGTACGAATGTGAGGGGAAACGCATTGTGGAAATGTGAGCATTTCGTAACACAATATATATATAGATACTTTCTTTTGCAGGTGCTTTTGCGTTACTCGATGTGATAACGAAATGTGTTTCAATGCATATAATTGAATCTGAGCAATCAAGTGCGAAGAGGGCACAGTTTTCTCGGTGTGATCAGACTCTCCGATTGTCTCCTCAACTCTAAGTGACGTGTCAGCCATGTACCAAAATTTCTCTAAAGAAGAGCTCAAGCAGCTAGTTCGAGCCTTGAACGAGAGCGGTGAATTGGAGCAGCTGCTGCACGAAGCATCCGCTTCCACTTCGACCGACACAGCGCAAGGATCGATGAATGACAGCTCAAAACGCAGATTGACGAGTTCTGTGGTGTCTGCGAAGGAAGAGCTGGATCAGTTTGAGGTGATTGCTTTGACTCAAAGTGTGACTCCGACCCCAAAGAAGATGAGTCAAGCACCGGTGCTTCCACGTCAGGTCGGCTACTCTTCTCATGCTGGAACAGAGATCCGCCTGCCTGAAGGTCTTCAGTCACTGAAGCAGTGGGGCTCCACCATTTGTGAGCTACCAAAAGTAGCCAAGCGTGACATGACATACGATATGATGGTCACAGAAGCTGACTCGTGTAAAGAAATGAGGGATTACTTGACATGGGTCACCAACAGCGGAGTCAAATCCTCGAAGATGGATGACATCCGTGCATATTTGAAGGCAGTCCAGTATAGCCCCGGAATTTCCAAGTTCGGAGTGACGTATCCAGGCTCGAAGGAAGCCCGTCGCTTTGGCCATGAAGGCCATTGAAAACTTGGATCATATATAGATTTTGAGGAGTGTGAATTGTGATGAGCACATGGTCGGACGCCATGTCTAGCGGAACCTTTAGGCTGGAGCGTAGAAAGGCGCCGCTGCGATGCCCCTGGTGGGGCGACCGCACCGACATATATATATATATATATGGAAAACACAACACAGACACATGTGTAATGATAACGACACAGTGTAATATAACTTACAAAACACAGACACCTAATTCAGTGTCTGTCTGTTCCCAAGAGAGAACCGCAACAGATCCCAACTGTTTCAAACCTCTTTCAGCCGAGTCACCAGCTGTAACTCTCCTGCTGCGTCGCTGCGCGCATCGCTCGCAGGGTCTGGGCCACTGGGTCTCGAGCCTCAGCTTCCTGTTGCCACCAGCTTTCAGCCCGACTGCTACAGTCCTGAGCTGCTCAGCGACGGCAGCTTCGAACACATTCCAGGTGGCTTCTGAGCCAGTCCTATTCGATGGTATTTCTGGCTCTGCTACAGGTCCGGTTCGAAGCAATTCCATCTGCTGCGGAGAGGTCAGGATGTTTCTGGAAGGCTCAGACGAGACTCCGGGTGGGTTCGGGACGGAGTCGGGTTTGACCCGATGGTTTCTGCTAGCACGACGTTCCTGAGGTTGTTGGGGCTGGAGCCAACGCCCGGGGGGGGTACCCGGTCAAAATCTGAGCAGAGGTGGGAGGCAGGCAAAAACCCATTCCCTACAAGTCCAAAGACCCAGTAAAACCTGGTCCTGTACCTCATTGAGTAGTGTTTTTTTGTATGGCTAACTCCAGTAAAATCAGGTCAAACTGACTTGTAAGGATTGAAGATATTGAAAGGTTTCCTTAGCACCAGGTGGTTTGGTTGGTTGAAACGAGGGCCGGCAAAAAATATGCCTTCTGGCAAGTCCTGAGAATGTCCTTCTGGCATGTTCCCGTGCAGTGAATCATTCCCCAGAGATCCCCGAGATCCCAGGAGAATGCATGAAATTATGAGATGGCGGTGAGTCAAAAGCCAGAGTGGCCATATCCCACTGGTAGGTTGACGAAGGAACACGTAGTCCATTCTGTTCACGTTGGATGGTCAACCATGGCTTTCCCTGGTTTTGACCCACAGCCAGATGGGTTTCTAAAGCGTCAACGGCTCAAATGCCGTGCGATGTCAGTCGCCGATCGATCGCAAAGATCGGCTGCCTTCTACCGTAACATACCGTAACAATTTGTTGAGCGATTTGAGCGGCTCATCAGCTCAATTCTTACCCATGTCCATTCCGTCCAGGAGCATGATCAGTTAATATACTCTCAAACAGCAGACTTCAAAGGAGTCAACCCGTGGTGACCCGTAAATGCACTCCTTCTTCACCTAGCCTAGGGGCCTAGCTAAACAAAGATTGCCTGCACCAATCACTACAAGACTCTCTCTCTCTCTCTCACCTACGCGACCACCCTCTTCACCCCCCTATACCCTTCATCGTCAGCCACGGAGATGTTCCTCCGTCCGATCTCCGCTGAGCATCCCAAGAATCCTGGAACCACATGGCCCAAGACCAGCGCCTCGGTGAACTGTACAAAGTTTAATCTCCTTTGGAACAGGAGGGAACACACACAATTAGCCGAATCGGCGCTCCCTGACTCCTCACTTGTGTCACTGGGGGGAAAAGAGTGCATCGACTAAACGAGCCTAAACATAGCCTAACAAGCCTGAGAGAAAACCTAAGCAAACGAAAGGGGGTAAAAGGCACGGGCCCAATGGCACTGTCCAGAAAGCCGAAATCGGCGCACCCTTGACTAAACATTAACCTGACACCTAAAAAGCCTCTAGCAACGAACGAAAACCTGGAGAGAAGCAAAAAACCCTAGGAGGAGAAAAAGGGAGACCGTGCATGAATTACTCAGTGTGAAACGTAGGAGTGCATACTTAGCACTTGACTTAAGGCTAACCTGGAACCTAAAAACCTCTAGCAACTAAAGAAAACCTAGAAATCGAAAAAGAATGAGAGAAAGCAACAACAAGGTGAATACGTAGCCGCGTATTTGTACAATGAATACTTAGCCGCATGTCGTGACACTCTCGGAATGTTAGCCAGTATGCTCTGCAGCATAGTTTCAACAGTCTTGAGCAGAAACGAGAGATCATCTAAAATCGACCAACACGAACATCCTGGGAGAAGCACCTGGAGGGCATGTGATGCAGCGCCCACTGCGGGGATCACACAACAGACCTCTGTGGGCCCCTGTTGCGGCACACACTTCGATCCATGCTCCCAAGAGCTAAATCAGATACGACATTCCCAGGAGTTAGTTACTGAATACTTGGCGCTTGACTTGCAGAACCGTAAGAGTGAAAAGTCCGCGACAGCAGTATTGCTTAACAAAAGCTCATTAGCACTTGCATAGGGAGGTAGGTTCCATAATGTGAATCGCTCTAAGTACATAAAAGAGTGAAATAAAGCCTCCTGCTTTGTAGCTAGGGTAGACTGAATGGAAAAGAAACCTCCTGTTTAGCTAGGGAGCGAGACTGACGAATCGCTCCATTAGGGTAGAAACGGAAAGGGAACCGACAGACTTATCGGGCGAGACATAAGAATCACCCAGTAGAGTAGAACAGTCACCGTAGCTCCCAGCTGTGACCCCAACTGAATGGGTAAGTAATCCAGGGACGCTACATGCAGGTACAGGAAACCGGCCAAGTTACAGCTTCATTGCGTGTGGGAGGATAAGAGTGTCACACGCACCTGCAGAACTGTACAGAGTCTAATCTGGAGGGAACACACACTCAGGATAGGGTGTACTGAACTGAAAGCGGTGCCACACGCCGGCCTAGGGTTCCAATTCCTAAGGGTACATGTACGAACCACGGATCCTGGAGGTCTTCAAGAGGAAGTAGGGCCCAAAGAGAAAAGCACGAGCGACGAACCGACAAGATGACGTCGTGGCGTGCAAGTCTGCGGAGCTCACTAGCACTTTACAAAAGGAAGAAGAAGGGTGGCCAGCAGCTGCGTCTTATAATGCGCCCAGGTGCACCAAGCAGGTACGTTTACACAAGCACTGCATGAGAGTCTTCGTTGGCTCTCGTCTCATGCAGGCTCCGAGAGCCCCCTGCTGTAGTAAAGGTTAAAAGAAAGCAAACCGAACAAATCCAAAAGGATCCCTATGATTCCAAGGGTTACACACACACGCCTCCCCGAGGGAGGGCGAGAAACTAAGGTAAGGGCCAATGTGCACGTGTGCGCGCATAAGAGACAAGAGAATGAAGACATTATGACAAGAGGACGAGACGGGACAAAGGTGCGTGTGGTTGAAATGAAAGGGGAACCAAGTGCACAAGGACACCCGATGAAGCCCACCTCATTATAAAGACCTGGGCGACCTGAAACCTGTGTTTAAATGTAGGTAGAAGTGCACGTAATTACACACTAAGGCCGGGACCAATGTGCGCGCAAACGAAGAAAAGGATGAGATGACCAGACATGAAGACAGGAGGACATGAAAGAAAAGAGGAAACAAAAGGTGTGTGAAAGGGGAAAGGATGAAGCGGTGCCACACGCCGGCCTAGGGTTCCAATTCCTAAGGGTACATGTACGAACCACGGATCCTGGAGGTCTTCAAGAGGAAGTAGGGCCCAAAGAGAAAAGCACGAGCGACGAACCGACAAGATGACGTCGTGGCGCGCAAGTCTGCGGAGCTCACTAGCACTTTACAAAAGGAAGAAGAAGGGTGGCCACCAGCTGCGTCTTATAATGCGCCCAGGTGCACCAAGCAGGTACGTTTACACAAGCACTGCGTGAGAGTCTTCGTTGGCTCTCGTCTCATGCAGGCTCCGAGAGCCCCCTGCTGTAGTAAAGGTAAAAAGAAAGCAAACCGAACAAATCCAAAAGGATCCCTATGATTCCAAGGGTTACACACACACACACACAAACGGGCAAAATGTTACGAGCCCCGTTCCCAAGCTGCAAATACCCCTGTTGAATTTGTTCTATTAAATCGAATTACATATGGTTTCTTGAAGCACAGTGATGTTATGTTACTTTTTTTTGCATGTTGTTTCTTGTTAGCCTCGCTGGTCGGTCCCAGGAGACACGTCCGACTCCTCCGCCCAGATGCCGCGGGCTGACCAATGTGAGGGTGTTGCATCCAGAAAATCCCGGAGTGATGCAAAACCCTGGGTTTTCATGGGTTTTCTCGTGTGGACAAAGAAAGAAAAGCACGGCTTTTCTTTGAGGCGATTCGCAGTGAGCTGCATTGCGGTGATAACGTGATGATTTGGGATCCAAACCTCCAAAATTTGATACCCACCAGTCTCTACCTGGTCAATACTAAGTATACAATTAACTTAACTTATTTTTCATACTTATTCCATATTATGGAAGAAAGCAAACATGATTTGTTGCCTCTTAGCATAGGCTTCTTGCCCCCCGCCCTACACAAGACCCGTCATCCCATGTCATGCACAACCACCACACCTCTTTTCCATGCCCCACCCAACCCCCTCCCGGTCACCCGCGCCGACTGACCGACCGTTCGTCCGCGAACGGACGCGCAGTTCCCAGGTCCGGTCCGAGGGGCTCGCCGTGTCGCACGTGGACGCCGTGCAGCAAATCGGACTGATGGACCACCGTGTCGCCCCTCCTAAGTCGGTTCCCGTCGCGGAGAGTGAAGGTCCTCTTTACGGTCACTGGATACCTCTAGAAATGATGAGAAACGAGAAAGATCCCAGACGGATTCGGCCTACCAACTCCTTGGTGCACCTTCCTCCCATCACTGCTCAGCTGCAGTCATACATCAAAGAAAACATTTTTTCCTGCCATCGACAAATGCGAGTGAGCCGGTGGTTTTCACGGCTGCCACTCACCACCTGTAACAGGATGTGGCAAATGGATGTAGTTCAAAAGAAATAGCATGGATACAGAACTAGTAGCGTCCGATCGCTCCTAGTAGCGATGCCCTTTGTTACAAACAAACTTGAGATGTTCCTGATGCCTGATGCAAGTGAAAACAAGGGAACAGAGAATCTGTTGCAATCAATCAGGGCCCTGGTTTCGGTTGGACAGAGAGCCATGCGGTGATGCTGGCCATGGGTTGCTGGCACTATTTTCCAACACGTTTTTGTGAAAGGATCCCAATTGGGCAACAAATATGTTTATGTTGGGAAGCACGTCCATTAACACATGTTCATGTTCATGTGGCTTGGGAGATTTGCAGTCCCAAAACATTCATCGGACTTTTTGGAGTAGCTCTTTGTCCAAGAACTCTGGCCCGCTTTGGACTCTCAACATTAGCGGATGTGGGTCAAACCCAACACCTCAACCATGGCAGACATCCCTGCTTGTCCATTTGGTTCATGTTCACTGGTCAACGATAGGATTCCCAAGTTTATTTTCATAAACTGCTGCTGCAGATATCCACCAAAAGGGGACCCTGGGGATTGGGACAACCTTTTGCAGAAATTCACAGAACAAACGAGCATTTCTTAAGGTGATTTGAGTGTATGTGTTTTTCTTTGCCAGTGGGCTTGGATGGTACCCTGCTTTTGAGCCACGCCCAAATAGTTTGACGTCGGCGTTTATTCATGAACCCGTAGGCATCAGCTCCAAGGAAGCACGCCTGGTTTGGAAGTGAGACACGAATACTGAAGCTACGTGAATGATTTCACTTAGTTCACCTCGTGTGACACTTGAAACTTTGAGGTGAGGGTTACATTCTGCATCATTCTGCGCAATGGCATGAAGAGAACGCCCTTTACCCACTGTACAATGTGGAACAGGTGCAGCCTCGAATTAACCAAGCTACTGAAATCTACAATGACCAGGCCCTCGCTTCGGAATCTTCTTTGAAGGCCATCGGCTCGGCACCATCCTCATTGGCGCTCGGGCCTGTTGTAGTGAATTTGTAACTGGGCCCGCCTCAAGCAGTGTGACCTGCAGCTTGCAGCGTTTGAGAGCCATGAGGTCCATCAGAGTCTTCATGGAGTAGAGGGGCACATGGATCTCCTCAAAGGAAGCCCTATCAATCTGTTGGACCCCGAACATCTTGAGCAACTCTCCAAGCTGTTCGTCCAAGTGCATCGGCACTGGGCTCAGGGACACGATCCATCTGCATGGACACGGGGGGCTCTCGCCAGCATGGCATCTCACGAGTCCTTGACACCTTGGCGGCCGCACCAAGGCATGGCACAGGTCTCCTGATGAACGCATTCGCTTCGGACAAAACAGTAAGACTTGGCGCTGAAGGACTTGTGCTATGGGCTGAAATACACAACGAGGGTGATGTCAACGTGGTTGTTTTGAAATGTCATGGTGGGGTGCACTCGAAGCAAAGTAATTTTAATATCGGTGAATCCTAAGGAAATGAATTGATCGGCCTCGCCAGTCCCACTGGTCGTGTCTGGGATCAGTCCCACAACGTCTGCCCGGACGTCGACACCCGAATCCAGGCGTCTGCAAAGGGATGAAGGATTTCTCGCCGTTGCCAGTGGTGACAAAGAAGCCTCCCTGAGACGGGAAACAGGGAACTCTTACATGTCCACGTTCGATTTGTAGTCATCCTGGAGTAGAATAGGTGAAAATCACAAAAAAAGAATAGGACACAGGTCAGGTGTCTGGATTCTGGGTTGTTTCATGTTGTTTCATATTCTAATTATCTACTCTAGGATGGTTGTAGTACTTGATCGATGAAATCTACCATGAGGAAGTCTAAAGTCATGTAAGTTAGTTGACTATGCTGATGACTGCCTGACCCTTTTGGGCATGGAGCTCCAGGCTTCTAGGTGATGAAAGTCCCCATTGGCTGAGAGATTGCTTGCCTCCATTGGACTAAAGGCCCTTCACGGCTCCATGACGGCGGAAGAGCTCCACCTTTCGCTAAGGCTAAGACCTTTCGTTCTCAGAGGAACTTCCTTTACTGAAGAGTGGGGCAAGAGATAGTCTTTGGACTGTTCCAGTGAAGATGTTTCCTCACTTCGGGTGTGTTTGCGACCTCGCAGCGTGCGTGTTTGCTTAGCTTAGCGGCAAGAGATCCTGATGTCTAAGCCATCCAGTTGCCCAATTCTGCTTGACTCCTCCAAAGTAAACATCTGTTTCCAGCTCGCAAAATGGCATAGATCCCATCATTCCCCAATGTTTCTTCGGCGGGATTTGGATCGGTATATTAAACACCTCCACGTCTGAACGGGAAGTGAAGAGGCATCCGTCTCCCCTACACGAAGGGTACGGGTACCGCAGGCCCCCTCACGACCCACGAGGAAGTCTCTGAGAATCCACGGATGAAGACGAAAGGAAGTCTCCAAATCCTCCGGCGGAGGATTAAGACAAGTCTCTGGTCACCTCTGAGGGGGCTGAGCGGGGGGGGGGAAAAACATGGCTGAGCAGGGAACTCAGGTCAGAAGAGGTTAGGGAACTTCCTACTTCTTGCTGGTTTCAACTCACTTGAAAGATATATGAGTCAGTGGGTGAAAAAAACATCCCAAGTAAAGGTTGAACAACAAATCTCTGAAATCGCCCGGCAGATCCAGCCAAAAGGCTCCAAGATGCGTCTCCCCTTCTTTTTTCCAGTTCCGGGAAGAACCCAGAACTCCCACGCTCCCACAGCTGCGCTCAGACGCGTCCGCGTCCGCGGTTTTGGCCAGCACGTTCCGCGTCCGTCACGCGGCGCCTCGAAGTCTTGGCCTGAAGAGTCCAAGCTGACCACCACCGAGACGTAGGAAGGGATATCCCAATGCCTCAGGAACGTCGGATTGCACATGACCCAGACCGACAGGGGATGGGAAGGGGCACGAGCGAGACGGGGGGGCCGGGTCCGACGAGAACGGAGGGGGTCCGACGAGACGGGGCGGCAAAAAGGTTGGAAAACAATCTGAATTGCCCTACCAGGACCCACTGTCGGGGTGGTTAATGGACACCCCGAATCACATCTTTTTCGGAGCCTATCAATAGAAGCGTGTCCTGGTAGCTCGATCCCCTTGTTTGCTCGATCCTAGTGGTGAAAGGTCTTCCATTGGCATCTCCTTCGGATAGGATAGGATAGGATAGGATAGGATAGATCCAATGAGATGGGATGCCCCTTGCGCCGGCCGTGGGCTCACTGGCCGGTCCTGGGAAAAAATAGAGGGGTCAGTTTGGCACCATTGACCACTTGGGGTTATTATCCCCTCTATTAATCATTCAAACAATAGTAAAAGGCCATCTATGGCTGAGGCTGTTAAGGCTATTTAGCTGCTGATGCTGTTGCTGCCGATGACATGGTCTGTGATGAGGAGGGGAGGAGGCACCTGGTGTCTGCTTCAGACTGGTCGCTGGTTTCTGCTTCCTGGTTCCCAGTTACAAATACCACGTTTGGGGGACCAGGATTCTGCCACTACAACGCAAGAAACTGGAGTATCTAACCCAGTGCTGGTTGTCCATGTTGGTTTGTCTGGAGAGGGATCATCTGCTTCTGTACAGTGAGATCCCATCTAGCCCAAAAACATGAAAGTGGACGGCATGGCCACTTTCAAGACAATCTTACCAGGTTGACTGCAATCGAATTAAGATATGGAGCACCACCACCATGCTTTCAAAAGTGATTTGCATGGCCACTTTGTTCCCCTTGACAAACAGTGGACTTGCCGCTTCCATGTTTGTTGGACGGAGTATACAGTATACTCACTTCCTCAGGAACAAGAAATGCCACCCTCACCCCACCCGAAGAAAAACTGACAACCATGCTGCGTGTCGTGCGTCCTCCGCTCTCTCTCCAGATATCTGCGAATCATTGAGTGGCACACTGCACCCGCTTTGGGGTAACGTGCCCAAACAAAGGGCTGAATACCTGAGCTGACAAAGGCAAAGAGAGATCTTGAGGGGATGGCTTTGGCGTGCGGATGCTTCTTGCCTATTCTCGGATGCGGCAAAGTGAATAAGCCTTCTGGCCTACATCCCAGTTCGCTAACACAAGACAAGCCTGCACGAGGCACACATGTTTCGCTCTGATTGGGCTGGTGACTGGTACATTTTCTACGGCCATGTCCAAGGTCAAAAGTTTGTCGTAGACACAGCTCCGAGACAAGTGACCATCAGCAAGAACCAGGCTCTACAGAATAGCTTGAGGTCACAAAACCCCCCAATAGCTTGGTGCTTGGCGCCCCAAAACATCGGACCTTTGCAGCGCCCAGTCCAACCGCTGGACTTCACCCTGGTCCGAAAAAGAGACCGTTGCTCTCCGCTCGGCTGGGCCACGTCACATCCCATCCGACGCGCCGGAAGTGTCCTCCCCCCCCCGGACACGTCCGAGGGGCGCTCCCTCAGGATGGGCTCGGTGATGCGTCGAAGCTGCGCCCGCCGAGCGGAGCGCACGGGGTCGTGCGCCTTCTGCGCGCCCGCGCTGGAGATGATGAACTCGTAGGTGATCATCCTCTGTCCGGTGAGAGCTGCGCATCCTTTAAGGAGCCGGGAGAACATATATAATGTGGTAAATGATGTTATAAGACGTTATAAGGATTCCCCAGAAGGCCAGAAGGAGATGCATGAATCAAAAGCTGGGGAAACCCTGGCCGAACCAGGACCCAACCCTGGTTCAGCGTCCATCCAGGTCCTGTTTTGGGCTTTTCATTGGAATTCCCTTTAAATGAACATCTTCAGCGGATCCGAGTCGCCCTCGCCCTGACCGCATATGGCCCTGCGGCTCCGAGAATCGCCGATCCGATTCAACGATCCGTTTCATCGATCCGAGTCACCATGTGTTTCATCATGAGATGTGTGAAGACTCACCGAAGCCATGGGAAAATCATCTCACCACGTTCAAAAAGGTATGGCTTGGGCTTGGGTATATCCGATGATTACCAGGAACAGCGGATGATGATTGATGATGATTGATGATGCCTTCTTCCTTTTTGCTTTGGGCTGGCTTTTGGCCTCGCCTTGCCTTCTTGTCTGAACCCTCCTTGCACAGAGTGCAGGATCGGTTGTTTTCCTTGGCCTTGCCCTTTTCTCACCTGGGTCCCTTCTCATCAGTTAGAGGGCACCCATTCCGTGGATAACCTTGCTCCTACTCCTACACTTAGTTCTTTTGAGCCAAGATCACTGGTCCTTGGTCCTTGTCAGCGGTCCTTGGGATTCCAGAGCCCGGAAAATCCGGGTTGCACTTCGCTGCAGCTGTATGATGGGGCCAGGTTGCAGGCCTTTCCATCTTTAAAATATAGCTGAAACAGACTGTTGCAGGGGCCTGGGACAGACTATGGCAGTATGGCAATCTTGGAAGCACTCTCAGCAAAACAAGGAAAGACTATTGGATGCTGGAAACCCCTTTCTTCCCTCCCTGGGGACTCATTTTTTTTGATGTTGAACCAAAAAGGTCGATGATGGGCCTGTCGCCTTGTCGCCAAGCCTTGTCGCCTCGGCCAAGTACCATCTTGAAGTTGTCCGACCTCAAATGAAACCTCTTTCCTCCACTTCCTGGTGAGGACCGGAAAGAGGTTTCATTTGAAGTACACCAGATGATAGTACACCCCGTCTCTGACCCCTTATCATCTTGGTGTCTTATCCACACCGTCGATATCTTCATCAAAGTCATCGGGTGCATCTTCCAGTAGACGTTTCATCGCCACAGCCTCCTCCTGAGCCGCTCCGGCACGTGGCGGGTTCCTCAAGTGGCTGGAATCTGAACGTCTGGGGAAGTAAACCTCAAGTAGGTGGAGGCCATGGCTAGTAGGTTGGAGGCCATCACTATTAGGTTCCATTTGCAAGTAGGTTGGAGGCCATCGCCAGTAGGTTGGAGGCCTCTGGGGAATTCCTCAAGTGGCTGGAATCTGAAGCTCTGCAAAGTTGAATGGGGCCAAGCTATCAGTCCCCAGGTCACCGTAAGTGGCGAAATCACTGCTCCTTGCCCCGAAGGGAAAGTTGCGTCCAGCACCACCTGTGCAGAGTTCTTTGGCCCACGAGTTGTTAGTCCTTGAGCAGGGTCCCAAAAGGAAAACGAGTGCTCCAAAGGCTTCCAGTGCCAAACACATCAGTTCATTGTTGTTGTTCTTTTCCTGTCTGTCTGTTTCTTCGTGTGGAGTTCTGGCTGCCAGGTCTGGTCTTTCTCCCATCCTCCATCGTTCATGCCATCCTCCATCCCATGGAACGTCCACCGAGGCAAATCCCAACGGCTTCACGTCCTCCGTCACCAGCGAAGCCAAGACGTTGAACTTCGCCCTCCAGGCTGCCTGAGGCCTCAGGGTGCGCTGCGTGCGCTGCCCGGCACCGAAGAAGAAGGTCCAGCCATGCAGCCACGTGTGGGCCAAAAGAAACAGAGTGAAGCATCAACCAATCCAGGGCCACTGAACCACATAATTGACAACGAAGCCACCAATGGAAGCTTCCAAGAGCAGCTGGTTTGCAGAATTTGTGAGAGAAGAGCGTGTTTCTCTCTTGGGGTTGTTCCTTGCTTTCTGGCAAGGAGCTGCCAAGTCTGGAGAGATCCAATGTGTTGCTGCAATTGAGTTCTGTCAGTTTGGTGTGTTCACGTTCTGTGCCGAAAAACGCTGAAGCACTTTCAAAACTTCAAGAAACAAACAACTTTATCTTCCTTTCTGAACATGAACCAAACAAAACAACAAGCACGAGCGAGGTGGCCATCCAAACCTGTGGATTTCTTCATGTTTGCAAGCTGCATCACTTGGTCAGCAGAGACCCGGTAAGAGAAAGTGGTGGCACAAATGGTTCAACCATGCCAGCGAATGTGCCGGCAAGTCCAAGACCGAGTGCGTTTGTGGAACCCACCACAAGCTCAGTCCTACCACCGGAGAGGCCCTCAGTGGCTCTGGTTCAGAACCAAGCACCCAGTCGAACACCATTTCAGGTAGTACAGTCCCAACCCCACCAATTGGTGGCTCACCAGTGGCCACCACCTGGCCACCACCTGGCCACCCGGAATGTGTATTTAAGTAGGGAGGACTCCCTGGCCCCAATGGGCCCTGTTCGAGTCTGTCCCCGTGCCGGGCGCGATTCGGATGGCGCCAGGTGCCACTTCACGTAGCCCACGACGCAGCGGCCCAGCCACGGCGGGGCGAGCCATCCCCACCAGCCGCCCTGCTGGAGACGGAGCTCCTGCGCCGAGAACATGGTCCAGTACGGACAAAGGGGGGAAGAACCGAGGTAGGGGAAGGACCAGGTGCCAGTGCACCCAGTGTTCACGACTCTGCGTCCCTGCACTTCGAGGGCGGAGCGAAGGTGAGACCCTTCCTAACGCCTGGGGAGTACGCAACCTTGGCTCTTTCTCACTCTCCCCAACGGGCTCCTCCAGGAACGGGGAAGTCATGGGCCCTTCAGTTGGCTTTTGGAGAAGGGATCTTTCTTTGGATGCACAAGCAATAGCTTTCAAGGTGCGTGTGAAGTTCTTGTGTCGTTTACACTGTTTGGACATGATCATGGGCCAACGAATAAAAGGCATGGCCCCAGATTTCGGGTGACCGTTGTCCACTAGAAACTGGTGGTTTTCCACTTCCATGATGATTTCAGAGAGTCTACCCGACCTGCCATTGGAGATGCTCATGGATCTTAAATCTTTTGACCATGAGGGGCAGTCAGGACACGGCACAAAACAGCGGATCAAATGTTGGCGCCTTTGGTCTACCTGCACGAAACGGTCGACCATTTCCGTAGACGGGCGCTTACAGCCATATTATACGTCTCATACGTCCTACCAAAACTCCAAGAAAAACAAATCCGTCCCTCACTCGGGTCCCCCCTGTGTCCTCCTCGTGGGTGTCTAAAAAGCTGGGCAAATGTGGTGCTGTTCGCCATCGGCTCAGCCCTTGCCCCCGCGCGCGGACGTCGAGTTCGGGAGCGCAGCCCTCCAAGAGCAGCGCCAGTCCAGCCGCCAGGGGCAGCAAATGGGTGCTGAGAAGTCGAGGCATTGCGCCGCATGGAGCATCAACGGTGCTAAGACTCGTGGGGGGGGTTGACCTAGATGGGAGTCAGAGCTGACCAGAGTTTCTCAATCTACTTCGCTTTACCAGGGCACTCCAGTGATAGAGATCAGGTGTTGCATGCTGCAGCGGTTGCTAGGGAGGCCCAGGAAGACCCCGCCTAAGAGCACCAAATAGGTCCAAGTTGTCTCCAAAGAAGTCTGGTCCTGTTTGACACGTAACATCACATAACGCAATTTGTTGCAGTCCATGTATCCTTCTTGCAATCTAAGCGGACGGAGTCACGTGACTCGCACAAGCTGCCCGCGGACCGCTTCGAGTTGACGACACTCTTTTAGAGAGGCGTTTCTTCGGCCGAAGTCTTCGGGAATCACCGCACCTCTGTCGCTGCTCTCAACCCCTATCCGGAAGGGAACGTTCCCCCCTTCCCCCACTTCGAAGGCAGAATCCGTCACGGATCCCATGGTCAACAGCCTGATGGTCTGTAGCGTTCAGTGGGTCATGTGGGTCCAATGCTTCGTCACTTTGATGGGCAAATCTTTAGAGCTCGTAGGGGAGTACAAGGCACAAGTCAGGTGGGCCAGCATTGTATATAGTGATTGGGTTTGCTTCTCTTCGCCTTTGGTTTTCCTCAACAAATCACGCTTAGCCGCTATGCAGTTCAGTGCACTTCAGGGGGGCGGAGTGACTTCTGACCCCAGCCAAATCAAAGACCTTCATAGATTCAGAGGATGCTAAATGTACCACGTGTTGGACCCACATCAAAGGATATGTTCGCACGACCATGGCAAAGATGTATCGTATTATCCAAGATCTGTTGATCCCAGTCATGAGTCTCAAGAACTTGACGCGGCGACATTCTTCTCCACTCCGCCAACTCTGCCCCTTCCAAAAACTCTTTTAAGACATGTCTGTCTTTTTCCAGTCTTCACGAGTCAATCCTCATAGCAAATAGAAACAAACAAACCCAAAACCGCGAATCTGGAAGGGAGGGCCCCCCAGCCCTTGCAGCCCTTACGGCCCTTGCGGCCACACGCCCCCCCCCACGCCGGCCCCCCCCCGCCACCTGCGGCGATCGCGCTTCGGGCGATCGCGTCGGAGAGGTGACGCCTCGACCCGTGTGCGGAGCGAATCGCAGGGATTCGGTCGACAGGGATTCGGTCGTTTTCCGGTTTCAAGGAGCTCTTCCAAAGCGGAAAGAGCAAGGGCTTCTTGGACCCCCAAGGCCCACGAGCTTCACCGGTGAAGGCCCAAGAGGTTGCTCCGTCCAACAACCGCTGACGAGTCAGCGCACCACGACACTCCCGACGAGGCGACGCGGTAGACGCGACGCGGTAGACGCGACCGCGAAGGGCGGGCCCAGTACACCAGTGACTACCCAAGAGAGGTATCCAGTGACCGTAAATTGGACCCGTCACTGGGGGTACCGAACTGGGATAGTCGAACGTTCGGGTCCTTCAACCTCTCTTGGACACGGCCATGGAACCGCCTTCGCTTTTGATTCTCTCAACATCTGGAGCTACAAAGCTGTGGAACAATCAACGACGGAAATCCAAGGCTAGCTGTTCAATCCAAAGCCCTGTGAAAAGGCATGTCCTAATAAACGTCTATAATCCATTATAATCCTCCTTCTCAGAAGGTACGCGGCTAGCTCGATTCAAGGACAAAAGTTGAAAAGCACCTGAGATCTCAACATCATGTCGCGGCTATGAGCTAACTATAGGGATATTCGGCAGCTCAAGAAGTTCAAAAGCAATATTGGGAGATCAAGGACTTCTGCACCATCCTGGGGCGGCTAGCTCGATGTGCATAGTCCAGATCTTCAGGGATGCGAGAAACACCACACACTGGAATCCACAAAGACACTGAGACACACCACACACTGAATCTCCTTATGGGAACATTCACCAAATCAAGTGAGTATCCCTACCAAGTGTCTGGTCCAGTAACATCTGGTCTTTGAGCATCTTTGTGAATCCAGAATTGCCGCCAGCTGGGGCAACCCGACGCTCGAAGCCAGGGCTGTTGGGCCGCCTGTGTTGACGTTTCGCGCCAAGCGCGAGTCGCGTGTGCGAGCGAACGCGTTCGCGGTGACGGGATGGGGTGAAGCCGAATCACTGAAGAGTCTCGCCCTCTCAGGAGATCTATACACTGAGACTATCTGGGACTAAATTGGCCCCTGTTTTCTAGATCTCAAAGTTATCTTCCGAGACCATGCCATCCATCATGGTATGACCCCCATATGAGGACGCCAGACACGAGTAGTCTGGGACTGCCAGGGGGGTCTGTCTGGGGCGGCAGTCCTATGGTAGTCCCATGGAGTGTCTGGGCATGAAAGTGAATGGCATGGTCCCAGAACGAAAAGTGTCCAACTCGTCATCGTCGAAACCAACGAGTCTTTTTTCACTCAGATTTGATCGTTGCGCCCTCCGAATCGCAACCTCTGCACGACCTCCAAATCGGATGAAGCGGAACAAGAAAAGTGATGCTGCTACCCTAGCGATGCACCTTGTTACTACAGTAGCAGCTTCTTGCTACTATATAGTCATGCCCTGGAGCTAGAGGATCGCCATTCACACCGCAAGCCAGCAGGGCCACAAACCACCACCAGCCGTCCACCCGTTCAAGCCCGCCTCACGACACGTGGCATGGGCACCTGGCGGAGAGATAGGGTTCGAATGCACCTCCTGGGTGGCCCTGGTGCATCAAGAAGTGGCCCTGACCCGTGTTTTCTCCTGTGGACCGGGTTTTCCTGGTGCTGCACTCCCTGGTTGCCCTGTGGAAAGATCCCATGTGGGATCAATATCAGATACGTCCCACGTACACCCCCTAAGATGATGTAAAATCCTGTCTCTGGGGGGTCTCTGGGGAATGGAAGAAACTCTGCACCGCAACCGCACCTGGAGATGTTCACTTGAGATATTTCTTGGCGTGGTTTGATGCCACTGACCATGCCACCACTGGCGTTGCTAGTGCGACGGCTTGATACAGTATCGGCTGGATGAGCATCAGAGTTCCATGTTGGCACCAACAAAAAGACAGAAGATCAGCAGACCGGGTTCCGGATGGTGGCTCCTGGACAACACCTGTGTTTCGATCTATTGGGGGCCAGGATCTATTTAGTCCATTTTTGCTACTAGTAGTAAGGCCAGGAGCTACGTTCGTAGCGTCCTTGCTAGTGGCGATGGCCTTGTTAGGTCTGGGAAGAAATTTCTCACCATTTTTGTGCGAACACGAGCAACACAAGCTGCACACGGTTCTGGTTCGCACATGGGGCGCCTCTTCTTCGACGACCGCTTGATGCAAAATCCTGCCGTCCGATGATGGAAGTCAGATGAAGATGGGGGCAAAGAAGCTACTAGTAACAAGTGCATTACTACTAGGAGCAAGAAGCTACGAACGTAGCTCCTGGCCATACTGCCAGTAACAAGAAGCGCTACTAGGCATGCTCGAAATGGTCTCCGGATCGGAAGCAAGTTGATTGCCCCCTAACCGGGGGACTGGAAGGGAAAAGGTTGGAAGTGGTCGTTTGACCAGGGGGCGACCTATCTGAACCACTACAGGGAAGGCCAATCGTTTATATGATCTTACAGTGGTTTCAGAGTAGATGGCACTGGCACCCGAAGATGTCTTAGACATATGGGGAGTCAACCACCGAACTTGGGGGCCCTTGTATCATCGAACCTCTGAAACTATTGTATCTCCATGAACAAACGGTAAGTCCAAATGACTCGTCATCCAGATGGGCTGCATCCCAGGATCGGAAGCCACCCTCAGCTGGGTCCTTACTCCACTCGAAGGCTCTCCATTCCCTCTTTTTTGGACGTTCACGCTAATTACTAGCTACTACAATTCTCCAACCTCAAGCTAGCCTCCCCATAGCAGGCACTAAAACACCTCGGGATCTCACCATGCCCCGCTGATCTCCTCTGCTTGGTATTGGGAGAAGCCTCCATGCTCACCTGACGTCGCGTGCGTCGTGTCAGCATCGTGTCAGCGTCGTAAAACACGAGGGCTTCACCGAGCGGGAGCAGATGGCCCCCAGTTTAGGATGAACGGCCCATCTAGACCTCCTGAGTCAATGGTGCCCCAGCAAGGCCAAAACCTGCTAAAGTAGAGATTGTCTATCTCTTGGAGCAGAATCTCTTCATGCACAGGATGTCTTTCGGCAAATCCAGCCGAATCCTTCATTGCCATGTATCCTCCACCAAAACAATTCTCATGCAAGACATGATTCACCACGCTAACATTGAAGTAGAAAGCAATCCCTTGCTTGCCGGTGATTTTGGAGACCAACTGGCGCCCAAACACCAGCCCACCCAAATTCAATATCAAACATACCGCTTCGCCCGGTCTCGGATCGAGCTCAGTGTGGTCTCGCTTGTCCTCGCCTTGCGCTCTTGGATCAAGGCTGCACAAGAGGTACTGCCTTAGGAAGCGCAGCTGGCGAACCGGGCTCCGCGCGGAGCCCACCGCACTGGGCGACGGCACTGGCCGTCAGACGACAGTCAGACGTGGCAGAACTGCGCTCGCGGTTGCCGTTCTTGCGCGCGGGAGGTCGGAACGCCGGGGCGACGCATTCTTGATTGTACAGAAGTGGAACTTGAGATGTCTTCCTCTCAAAGAGAACCAATGGGTCCCAAAAGAAGGGTGGAAACTGAGATGTCTTCCTCTTCAAGATATCAGTTCTCCTCCAAGATTCATTGTCCATCTGATCTTTTTTCGCCCACGGCTGCGAAAAAAGACGCATATCTATCAGCTTTGGGAATGTGGTGCCTTTTTGACGCTGCGCCTGCTTTCCTTTCGGTGGCCGGCAGTTTTCAGTCACCTGTGTACATCAAGTTTCATCAAGTTTGTGAGCATCTTGGATGAGCTATATGACTTGGCCGGGCGGTTAGACAACACGTGGGTGATGAGCAGTCCCATGGAGTGTCTGGGTACCATACCATTGCTCGTTTACCCTTGGAGAAGAAAAGGGTCATACCAGAAGTTCCATAGAGTTGGGTGCAGTTCCATGGAGTTGGGTGCAGTTCCATAGAGTTGGGTGCCTAATTATATATTAGAAGAGGTGCCCTGAAGATC